AAAATTAACATGAAAAGGAATAGGACAACCACTTCACATGGTGAGAATTTCATATTGCACATAGTATTACTAACAAAAAAACAAAAATAAAGAGCGCATTCTTATTTTCTTTGTATAATTTTTCTTCTCTCTCGTCTTTTTATTTTTTCATCCTTTATCTCCCCCCCCTTTACTCACACTTCTATAGTTCTCTCTTTTTCTTGTTTGAACTTATAAACCAGAACATGACTTAGCAGCCAAACAGCTTTGTAGTACAATTAATAAATCTGTAAGGAATTAATTTTCTTGTTCATCATAACGTTCCTCAAGTAGAGCATGGTTGGAGGTAAAAGCTAATTCAAAGTGCTGTGCAGTCATCAGTTTAATTATCACTGTTAGATTGGAGCATATGGAATTGCCATATGTAAATATACGTAAATATACTCCAGTATCAGCAGTTTCATATGGTACATATGACATGATCTCTGCATCCATTGTATGATTACCCTTTGATTCTTCGCATTGATTCTCTGATATGTAGAATTAAGCCAGCCTAAAATTTATTTTTTGTTTTCATTGATTTTTTTGTTTTTTAACCAAAATGAGTAATAGGTGTAGGTATTTTCTACTATAGAAACAATGTAATGTAATGATACTCTTTATGTAATTTGTTGGCACCCAAGTACCAGAACCCTCTGCCTAGTGTATGTCTCTTGAGAAGCAAATGCCAATGTCGTCAACCTATAGTTTTTCACACTACAGAAGGGAAATAAGCCAAGATTGATTTTCTTTTCTTTTTACTATCATTGCATTCATTTAGATAAATTTTATCTAAATAAAAACATTTTTTAAAAGGTTTGCTTTTTTAAATTGTTGATACTTTATTTTTAGATGGACTTTTCTTTAGGATGTTTTTCTTAATTTCCATGATCTGGCTTTAAATCTCTCCATGTAAACTTTTTACATGCACACTCCTTTCTCTGTATTCCAGACAAATAGCTATTGATTTATCTTTTTGCCACATTGTCCCTTCCTGTCATTTCTTCTCCCCAATCTTACCCTGTCCAAACCTTGCTTTCCCTTCAAAGCCTAGCTCAGTTGACTCTTTTTCCTTGGGCCCTAGCAAAAATGATCAGAGGAACTAAGTTCCCCTTGTATTTTACTGGGACATTCTGGGAAGTGTATGAATTACTTGGGTTCTTCTATGAGGGGGCTTCAAGAAGTTCATGGAAAAATTCCATTATCTTCTAATTCCATTTTTCTAAGAACTTTTTGAACCCCTTGGTACTATAATCCATGTTAGAGAATATGTATCTTGAGGGTCAGATGTGTATTTTATAAAGACTACTGTATGCCTGACAAGAGTTATTTGATGCAGTGCCTTACACTTAACACATATCTGGTGAATAAATGAAAGAATCTGGACTACACTGCCTTAATGTGGAGACAGGACAAGGAAGTGGGGGGGAGGTGACAACCATTAAAACTTAGGAATACATAATGTTACAAATAAACCATACAGTTATCTATGTATGTGAGTAAATGTGCCAGCCTGAATAGGTAACTTGAAGTTTATCTTTCTTATGTAGTTCCATCATGTTCATCCTGATGTGGCAGTGCCAACTCTTTGTACCAATGCAGTAGTGAGGTCTTTTGCTGGTACCAAATAAAAAAGCCAAGAGGAGTATTCTGACCAAGATTCTTAGGTCATTTAAATTAATTTTTATGCAGGGTTTTAGAAAAACATCTATAAACATTATTGGACTAATACTAAGGCAAATAAGACTGATGAGCTTTGAAATTGAGCTCATATATAAATTATAGATATATATGGAGTATATGAAGAAGAACATGGCATCAGGATTAGAGGTATACTCATTAACAACCTGCTACATGCAGACAATACAACCTTGTTTGCTGAAAGCAAAGAGGACTTAAAATACTTACTGATGAAGATCAAAGACCATGGCATTCGGTATGGTTTGCACCTAAATGTAAAGAAAACAAAATCCTTATCACTGAACCAATAAATAACATAAAAATAAATGGGCAAAAGATTGAAGTGGTCAAAGACTTCATTTTGCTCAGATCAACCATCAACACTCATGGAAGAAACAATCAAGAAATCAAAGGAGGTATTGTATTGGGCAAATCTGCTACACAAGACCTCTTTAAGGTGTTCAAGAGCAAAGATGTTATTTTGAGGACTAAGGTACACCTGACCCAAACCATGCTATTTTCAATAACCTTATTTATATTCAAGTGAAAGTTGGACAGTGAATAAAGAAGATGGTAAAAGAATTGATGCATTTGAGTTATAGCGTTGGAAGTACCAAGGACTGCTAAAAGAACAAACAAATCAGTGTTGGAAGTACAGCAGAATGTTTTTTAGAAGCCAGAATGACCAGACTTTCTCTCTCATACTTCGAACATATTATCAGGAAGGACCAGTCCCTGAAGAAGAACATCATGCTTTGTAAAGTGGAGTTTTGGAAACAGAGAGGAAACCCCCAATGAAATGGATTGGCACAGTGGCAGCAGCAATGGGCTGAAGCATAGCAACGATTGTGACATTGGTACAGGACCAGGCAGTGTTTTGTTCTATTTTGCCTAGGGTCACTATGAGTTGGTACCAACTCAATGGCACATAGCAACAACAATACATTCAAAGTACAAGTACTTTTTTTTGTCTTTGGTGAAAATATCTGTACATTGTGAATTGTTCTAACCCTTCATTTATTTTGTAGTTTTAGTTTAAGAATAATAAATAATAGCGTTGTTGTTGTTAAGTGAACCTTGCAGTTGAAACCGACTTTGCAGCCCAGCACATTAACCCACAGCACCACCCCAGGACTCTAGTATGACTAGAATGCATTGTGTGTTACCTTTCATTTTGTAATCCAATTTTTATACTTTATTTTAAAATCATATTTAAATAGAATTAAACTTTGAACTTGTAGTAATCTCACCCTGAGATTTAGAATGATTACTGTTGGGTTGGTGATACTCAGGCCAAACCCAGAAATCTGATGACATCCCTTGAAGATACTCATTATGAGCCCTACGTTTCCACAAGAGACTATCAAATAATCTAAAATTGCTGTAGAATTATCAGTAGAACAGGGTAACTGTGAAGTCAATTTTTTTAGACATTGTTGGTTTTAAAATATGGAAGTAGATTAATAATTAGGCATTTGTTTTTTCTGTACAAGTACAATGTGTCAATGATCAGTCAAAATAAATGTATTTTAGGATGTTCTTAATTATATTTAGTGCTGATTCAGATTCGGCTTCATTCAACCAAGAAACCCTGATTCTTTTTGGAAGCACTTTGTTCCTTCGCAGCATTTTGCATTGTTGTTTTTAAGGGCCATCCAGTTGGTTCCAACTCATAGCGACTTTGTATAGGGCTTGAGAGGCTTTCAACCTCCTGTTTCTCCTGTGGAGCGGACCCTGTGGTTCCAAATCCTCTGCTTATCATAGGAAGGCACAGCGCTCTTATATTTTGCATTACAGTCTTAGTATAAAATGAATTCCTTTCTTTTATCACAAATTATAGAAGTTTGGGCCTCTTGTTTATTCATAAAATTGTATTATAATCAAACTTAAAACATCTTCAGAGAGTTAAACATAATTTGCCCTTCAAATTAGAAGTATCGTAATTTTATGTACCATCACACAGATAGATGTATTTTTGTCCAGGAGCAGTTAAAGAAGGGATTTGGGGGATTAATGAAAGCATGATGGTTAGTAAAGGGCATGTTCCTACTGTGTGCTGCTTAATTCTCTGACACATTTCATACGGTATCCTCTTATGTGATTTCTCAGGCTACAGTCTAAAATATTTGAATAAAAGGCTCAACAACTCAAGTTCCCGAGACTAATTTCTCCTAAATCTCTGTGGCTTTATATCTGTATTGTGTAAGGGAGAGTGTAGCATATTATGTGGCATATCCGAGGCAGGAATAATATAATTTTTTCAAAATCTACATTCCTGCTTTCTTGGATTCCTCTAATTTCATCATTTTTATTTCACTCTAGTGGGTATTCATGTGGGTGTTCAGAGCTCAGTTACCTGAAAATGAATGGTTGTATGTTATGCTGTACAGCAACAGGGATGTCTCTCAGGTCCCAGTAATTGACAAAAACCCAATCTAATAGTTGTTGGTTTAGCAAAAACCAGTGTACTTTGAAATCACCTTATGCTTTTCTGAAACATGAGGATCTGATTTGCTTGGGGGGAGGGGAGGGACTGTGCCTAGAATGGACACACTGAAGTAAAATGCTTAATGTTCTCCATAAAAATATAGTCATCAGTGTATGCCTCCATTACTTTCAACAAGTAATAATACATTAGTCATTGAATCAAGCATAAGCTGATTACTATGCATTTGTCATAGGAAGCAATCATGTAGTATTTGTTTACTTTCTCTTCAGAAGTACTTTTTAATAAATTATAGATACAAGCTGAATCTTAAGTAGAAAGGCTTTGTAGGAAATCACTTTATCCCAAAGTTCAAATACTAGTCTCCACTCAATTCTGGGGTTTTATTTTGACTAATGAAGTCTGTTTAAAACATTTTTTATAACTACATATGTAATAGCTTGAATTTTACACAGACAGATGCAAAAGTATACACCAGAATAAGATTTAAACTACATGTGTACTTGTATATGTAATCACAGAAGTAAGACTAATGGGAAATAAACTATTAATTTTTTTTTTTTTGGAAGTAGGTCTCTAGGTGACTTTATATTTTCTTTTTGCTATCTTTTAAGTGATTTTGTGTTACCATGCATTATTTTTATAATTTGAAAAAAACTATACTTTCTGATAAGGTAAATGAATTAATAAATGTGGTTCTTATTCTAGATACAATTTATGAATGTACTTGAAACAGTTTTTAGTTTGTAAGTGGTAATTTAATGAACTGTATTTAAACAGTAAAAGCTGCTACGTGGTTGTCAGAGAAATCTGAGGAAAAAGGAACTAAAAGTTGTTAAATTCCTTTTATTTTTAGATGCCAGAATTCCAAAAAAGTTCTGTTCGCATCAAGAACCCAACAAGAGTAGAAGAAATTATCTGTGGTCTTATCAAAGGAGGAGCTGCCAAACTCCAGGTGTGTAATTGTCAAGAAAACTTTTATTATTAATGTTTAAAGTTTATTCATGCCATATTGTGCTAAAATCTGAGTAAAGTTTAGGTAAATCAGCTTTTCCTATCCTTCAGGAACCTAAAATCTAAAAGATTATATCTAGAGTTGTCTGATACATATAAAATACTCCAATGGAAACACAAAAACGAAAAGCCTTAAATACTATATGATTGTACTTCTATGAAATATCTACAATAGACAAGTATATCTCTAGAGACTAAAGTATATTAGTGGTTACCAGGAGCAGGAGAGAGGGGAAGGGGAAACCACTCCTTGGGGTCACTGAGTTTCTGGTAATGTTGGTCAAGTACTTTGGAAAATCCATAGTGATGATAGTTGTCCAGGATCACTGTCTGTGTCAGTTACAGTTACGGTACCTATAACAAGTTTTAAATGGGCAAATGCTTTCTTATGTATGTATATACAAGGGAGCTTCAAAAATTCATGGGAAAAAGCCTTTATGTAACATTTTTCCATAAACTTTCTAAAGCTCTCTTGTGGATGTGTGCATTTGTATATATTTTATATGTATGTGTATATATGTTGTTAAGTACCGTGGAGTTGATTCCGACTCATAGTGACCCTGCACAGGGTTTCCGAGGCTGTAAATCTTGACGGGAGCAGAAAGCCTCATCTTTCTCCCATGGAACAGCTGGTAGTTTCAAACTGCCGACCTTGAAGTTTGCAGCCCGATTTGTAACCATAGCGCTACCAGAGCTCCTTGTGTGTGTGTATATATATGCATATGTAAATATTTAAGGAATCCTGGTGTGGCGCTCTGGGTTGATGTGCTGGACTGCAAAGTCGCTTTGAATTGCAAGGTCGGCGATTCAAGCTCACCAGCTGCTCCTTGGAAACCCTATACAGGGTCTCTATGGGAGGGAATCGACTCGATAGCACTTAACAAGAACATATATATTTAAACCATAATGTTGTTGTTAAGTGCCAGCGAGTCAGTTCCGGATCCATAGAAACCCTATATAGGGTTTCCAAGGAGCATGAACCACCGATCTTTCAGCTCAAACCGGCTTTGCAGTCCAGCGCACTAACCCACAGCGCCACACCAAGACTCCATAATAGAACAATTTAAAAAATTAGTGACTTGAAATAATGTTATTCTTTAGACTTTCAAGTGAAAAATTACTGTTATTTTAAGAGTATTAGAAAGCATATACCCTTAAGTTGCACTTCTATTGGTGGTGGTTATGTACCATGTCGGTTTCAACTCATAGCGACCCTGTACAGGGTTTCCGAGGCTGTAAATCTTTATGGGAGCAGAAAGCCTCATCTTTCTCCCGATGAACAGCTGGTAGTTTGGAACTGCTGACCCTGAGGATAGCAGCCCAATTTGTAACCTCTACGCTACCAGAGCTCTTTAATTATTATTAGAGGATAACTGATTTTTTTTTCCCTTGGTTTTAAATGCTTTATTCTTACAATTACTGTCAAAATTAATACAAAACGGTAAGCATGCTCAGTCTTTCCCTCTCAGCTACAATATTAAGGGTTTGTTTACGACATCACTTTTGACAAATATACCTTAGCTGCATCCACAGGAGTGAGATATAGACAAAAGCCACCATTATAAACATAATTTACCGGGAAATCAACCAGTCCTACCTGGCTTCTGGCGCTGTGGGTTAACACGCTGGACTGCAAAATTCGGTTTGAACCCCAAGGTCGGTGGTTCAAGCTCACCAGCCGCTCCTCGGACACACAGGTTGGCTATGGGTTGGCACTGACTCGATGGCACTTCAGGAGCTTGTGGCTTGTGGCGCGCAGTTCAGGGCGGCGAGGGCAATGCGCTCTGGACCACGCCCCGCCTGTCGGGCTGAGGGATGGGACCTTGGCGAGTCTCAGTGGCCGCAGCCTTCATTGGTCCCGGCCGAGAGGAAGGGTGTGCTGGGCAGGCCCATCAAGTCCTGCGTGAGCTGCTTAGCTTCTGCTGCACCTCCCGGTTGCGCAATGGCTTTGTCGAGGCTCTTGGCGCCATTGCCTGTACTTTGAGCAGCCGCAGTCTGGACCCCTCGGGCCTGTACAGGTTGCACGGAGGTGACCAGGCTCATGACGGTTTGCGCGCCTGCAGCTTCCTGCCGGGCAACAGCGAGTCAGCTGCGTCGCCGCCCGCCATGTTGCCATGTGGTTACGGGTGAAGAGGTCTGCGAAGAGCTAGTCGTGGCACAGCTCTGTTGTGGGCATGGCAGCCATGGAGTCGGTGTTGGAGCTGAAGTCGATGGCACTTTAGTTGTGCTCATAAATGGGGAATGCGGCAGCGCCTAACTCTTCTAGGCCTCAGGGCTCAGCAACATGGCCCAGCTTGCCAGAGCGGCCTACCTCGTCTAGAATGCTGCGGGCCCCGCAGGCCAGGGCGTGCCGTGTTCTTGGCCGCATGAGGCCCAGCCCTGCTGTGTGTGAGGCCGCGGGTGTCAGTTCAGAATCAATGATTTTTTGTGTGTTTTAATGTTTTACTGTGAATTATGTGATAGTTTACATGGGAGAACATTAGTTTTACATTCATACTACCTTATATCCATTCATTGCCATGGTTATAATCCCCTCCATGCGTCATCAACCAACCAAAGGGTAAACCCTGCAAGCCTGCCCCCCAGACCGTCAGCACATAGCCCCTCTTGCTCTCTGGGTCTAGAGTCCCCAGCTGCTCCATCGCGCCACGTCATCATCTCTGCCTCCATCTCAGGCATCACTGCTTCTCTGGGTAGGGTCCCACTCTCTACTCTTCTCCCTTGATGGGTCCAGGGATCTCCACTACTAGACTGCAAAGTCAATCACGCCCCTCCTTGCTACAAAAC